AAAATGTGATGCATGTGGGGATCACTAAAGTGAAGGGTCAGAATGCTGGAAGCATCTTCTAAATAGTAGTTGAAGTCCTCAATAATGAAGACAGAAGTTTGGGTGGGGAGAAGAAATACAGCAAGTGAGGAGCTAAACTCTTAGTGAAGGGGAGTAACCAGGAAGCTGAGAAATGACACCAACGACAACATGGAGAAGGTGGAATGATTTCATCCACAGACTTCACTCTGAAGATGTGTTTATGTCTGTGTGGGATAGTGAAGGGCAAGGAGAACACTAGTTCCATCTGCTGTCCTGATGCTCCTGGGAAGAAGAGGAAGACCAGCCTTCACCTGGAGGATCTGTGAAGAGGTAGCATCCTCACAAGGCAGCCATATTTTCATTAAGGCAAGAGGCAAAGAGAATACTGTGAGAAAAGTTTGAGACTAGATTGTTCCTGAAGGTAAGGGGGAAATTTTTGTGAGAGATAAGAGAGGTGAGATGTCAGCTCAGATAAGTTCCTGGCTGTAGCTGGACTATGGGTGGTTGTAGTGCAAGTGTGTTAATATGCAAATTCCAGGGCTTAACCCAAGACCCACTGAGTTGGAATCTGTGTGGGGTGGGGGTTTGCATATTAACATACACTTCCAATAGTTATGGTGTGCAACCAGATAGGGGATCCCCTGCACTAGATGGTGTCGTGTATTTCTTCCAGCTGCAAAACTGGAAGTATGATGAGAATTTGAATCAGGGTCCTAGCAGTGAGCAAAAGGAAAGGAATGGATTCAATGAATATTTCAAGGAATACCTTAAGATGAGAATATGAGAGGCAAAATGAGTCAAAGGTGAATAGAAGCATTTTAAAGAGCTATGCTAGGACTTATTTTCTCTTTTGATTGCTAAGTTGTAAGTTGTTTCAAACTCACTTAAGCAAAGGAGAATTTATTGTCTCAATAAATGAACTGTCCAAGTTTAAGGTCAGGAGCACTTGGATCCGGGTTTTCAAGTAGTGCCATCCATGAACTTTTGGCTCTGCTCTCTGCTGTGTTAATTTGACTCCCATTTAGGGTCTACCAGTGTAGTGGCTGACATGTTTACAATTAGCTCTTAGTCTTAAGCAACAGGTCTTTAAAACTCCTGGACAGCAGATGTCCACTTCAGTGCTCTTTTAAACATAGCCACCAGTTAGAGCACTGCTACAGTTCCCATCACCCATTCCCTAGGGGTCCAGTCCTAGGTTTGTAGACTGGACTTCCCTTTATTGTTGCAATCTTGAGTGACATTTGAGAGGTGCTGAGTGTGCCATTGCTAGGAGTTGGTGAAAGTCACAACATTTCAGTGACCTTAAACTTGATTATTCATTGTGACCACACAACACAAATGCTTATTACCTGAAGCCTGAGATTTTTAATGTAATGTGAGAGGTAACAGAGTCAGGCCCTCAAAGGTCTCATTAAATCCCAACCACTGATACTTGAACTTCCACCAGGAGAGGATTTTACTTTTATTTTTTAGTGCCTGTCACCAAACACCAAGAAAAACTGTTGCCCCTAGCTCCCGCTTTTTGTACTATGTATTCCCAAGTCACTAAAGCCTGGGAAGGAGAGCAGTGGCCGTTGTGCAGCAGAGGAGTGCAAGCTTCCTTTAATTAGGGAAAAAAGTATATGTCAAATAGTTTGGGAACACAAAGAAATAAAGATAATAACATAATGAATTTCTGTGTACCCTGCACGTACCTTAGGAAGTAAAAACATAAGTCCCCAGAGACAACCACTGTCTGTCTTGCATTTGATGTTTATTATTCTTATGCATGTTTACTTTTTTTACATGTCTGTGAACAACATATAATGCTATTTTGCTTGTTTCTAAGCTTAATCTGAATGGTATTCCATCTACAAATTGCTTTTTATTTTTTTGCCTTATGTTGATACATGACATTCTGGTTTGTTCATTTTCACTGCTATGTAGTATTCTACTTAAACATATCAAATATATTCATGATTGTCTTGTGTGTGGACAGCAAAGTTACTTCAAATTTTTCACTATGATAAACAGGGTTGCTGTGAACATTCTTGCAGGGAGAGGTCTTGTTCAAGTATGCAAGAGTTCATATATATATATATATATATATATATATATATATATATATATAGTAGAAAATGGAAGACTGAAAGGTGTATGTATATCTTCACTCCTGCTAGATGTTGCCAAGTGGCTTGGCAAAGTGTTGGGCCAATTTATACTGCCCCTAGCAGTGTCTGAGCTGTCTCCCAGCTCCATCCAATTCAAAACTTGTACAGTCCAACTTTTATTTTATTTTTTAATTTTTGCCAATCTGAAAATAAAATGAATTATCTTTATTTTTTGAATTTGTATTTCCCAGATTACTAAGGTTAAACTTGTTATTCATGTAGAAGCCTGATATGTAAAGCTAAACTAGGCAGAGTTGTTCTGTTTGAGATGGGGTAATGGTTCACATTTAAGATATGTAAGCTACTGCATTTATTGTTCAGGTACCTTTGGATGATGTCTGTGTTCCTAAACATTGAGCATGTTTTTAAGTAAATGAGTTATAGGTACCATATTTTGGCTAGTTGTTTGTGATTTTAATGTCTGAGACACATCCTCCCCATCCATCTGCATAAATTAATTGGGAGTTGGCTTTAATAGCAGGTTATAAAAACCCAGCCATGAAGCTGAAGAAGAAAACAGACATCTGAGTCCTGAAGACAGGCATCCTCTAACTCACCAGGCATGTTCCTGATTTAGCACCTTTGCTCTGACTTTTCCTCAGTCTGAAACGATCCTCACCCAGAAATGCGCAAGGCTCACCTATTCAGGTCATCTCCAGATCTCCCCTTCTCAGTGGGGCCTTTCCCAACTTGCCCATCCAGCAGCCACTCCTGTATCTTTTCCTGTTCTACTATATATTTCCTTCCAGTGGCTTAGTTACTGTTTGCTTGGAGTGTTATTTCTTTCTTTATCTTTCCCCTACCAACTGTAGAATGTAACTTCTGCAAGGGGAGGCATCTTGATCTGTTTGGTTCATTACAGTAGTCCTTCCTTATCCTTAACTTCAATTACCCATGGTCAACAGTGGCTGAAAATATTAAATGGAAAATTCCATAACTAAATAATTTAAAAGTTTTAAACTGTGCACCATTCTGAGTAGCATGATGAACACTTTTGCCATCCAGCTCTGTCCCATTGAGAGCATGAATCATCCTTTTGTCAGTGTCTCCACCCTGTATGCGTTACCTGCTCATTAGTTACTTAGCTGTCTTTGGTCATCAGATTAACTGTAAGGGTATCAAAATGCTTATGTTAAGTAGCCCTTATTTTATTTAATAAAGGGCCCTAAGGGGCAAGAGGACGGATGCTGGCAATTTGGATATGCCAAAGAGGAGCTATAAATTGCCTTCTTTAAATGAAAAGGTGTTTTTAAATGCATAGGAGAAACATATTTACAGGTTTCAGTATTATTTGTGGTTTCAGGCATCCACTGGGGGGTGGGTCTTAGAACATATCCACCTGGATAAGGAGTACTACTGTATATACTGTTTTTTCCTATTTATACATATAAATGATAAAGTTTAATTTATAAACTCATCACACTGAGAGATTAACAATAAATAATAAAATAGAACAATGATAAAAATATATCATAACAAAAGTTATGCAAATAGTCTCTCTCTCAAAATGTCTTATTGTACTGCACTCACCTTTTCACTTACAGGGAAGTTATCACAGTTATGAAGGTGAAGGAAGACAGTGGCCTTCAATAGGAGGATTAAGAGACTTGGATAATTTATGGAGAAGCTTAGGACTTCTCTACTGTTCTTTCCTGCGATTGCTGAAATAAGTGGAATCTGAGTAACTTTCTGCATCTGGGCTTAGCTGAGCCAGGAGGCCAGGCTTCTATTAAGCGTGCTCCTAAGTAATCAAATTAGAAAGCTGTCCAAAGAGCTCCACCCACATCTTTAGCTTTCTTACTGGTGAAAGAAATCTAGAGCAAACTGCCATTATTCAACAGAGCAGTGAAGAGTGGAACACCACACTGATTGTACTGAAAGTTTTTGGAAGGAAGGTAGCATCCAACATCCAAGTTTCCCTGGTCTCTGAACCTTTAGTACAAGTAAATTAATTTCATTCGTCTCAGACCACCTTTTCCAGGCCAACTTCTTCCAAAGTGCCTGCAAGTGTTTCTCAGTGGTATGCCTGAGCCTTGGCTGCATCTCCTTGTCTGAAACAAATCTTTTATTATGAGGAAATAGCAGAATGATGATTCTGGACTCTTGGATCCAAGTTTCCTCTCAGCTGTTAACTTGGTATTTGATACCTTGGTAATTTTCAGCTTAACCTGCCCCCTTTCCTGCATTTCTCATTAATATCAGTTTCATATGGAAGCTGAATCTTACACATACTACATCAGCAACCTTGAATGAGATGGTTAAGATTAACACCTGTTTTTTTTAGTCTTTCCCAACATGTAATGTTGGCCCACTGGTTTCTGTGTTCACCCTCTGGACTTGCATGATTTTCCTTTGGTTCAGTGGTCACACATTCCACTGCAACCAAAAACCACCCAGATGATGGAAATATCATGTTGCTCATTTCACATGGGAAAGCCATGACCCGTCCTCTTATTCAAGTTGCATTCAAATCTAATTTCCATGGCCCATGTAAGCAGGAGTTCCACAGCACTTGTCTCAGCTGTCAAGTTCAGCAATGCTATTTCCAAACATGGGCCATTAGGCAGCCAGCAGGCATTAGACAGCTGAGTGCTGGAAGAAAAGTTCCAGATACATATAGCAGTCTGAACAGTGACTCATCCTGTTACTACCAGGATAAATATTGGAATAAAATGGTATTTTTCTCCAAGCAAGCAGAATTGTCAAAATGCTTATCACTTTATACAATATAACAGGTTATACATGTTCATGTTTTGAAATATTCCAACTACATACCACTCTTTTTAAAAATGAGTTTAGTAATAGCTTTAACATTTTTCTTCTTTCTAGGAGGCCTGGAGAACCCAGGAGTTTTCATGCTGTGCTGCCACCCAAGCTCTGGATCCACCTGGCTGTGGTGGCCTGTGGCAGTCGGTTAGAGGAGACGCTGGTCATGCTGAAATCAGCTGTGCTTTTTAGCCACAGGAAGATGCAATTCCACATTTTCACAGAAGAATCACTGAAGTCTGAGTTTGATAAGCAGGTGAATTTGCAGAAATTGTAGTATAGAATGTACTGAGTACAGCTAGAGTGCATTTTGGGAAATGCATATTCTATTAACTAATATATTTTGCTACATACTGAACTGTATGACTATGAACCTTTGACTCTGAGTCTTACTGTTTTTATCTACAATATAGGGATAGTCACACCTGTGGAGATAGAGATATGGTGTGGATTCAATTAGATAGTGCACATAAAGCATTTGACTTACAGTCGAATCCTTCTTGGTGTTATCAACATTGTTCTCACTTGGGAGGCAGACAGCTTATTTTTATTTATATATGTTTTATGAATGGCAAGTAAATATATACATTAAAATAAATTCAAATGCCCCTGGCCAGGGGGCTCAGTTTGTTGGAGTGTCATCCTGTATACCAAAAGTTTGTGGCTTCCATCCTCCGTCAGGGCACATAACCTAAGTTGTGGGTTTGATCCCTGATCTGGACGCATAAGGAAGACAATTGATCAGTGTTTCTCTCTCACACTGATATTTTTTTTCTCTCTCCCTCTCTAAAAAAAAGCAATATATTCTTGGGTGAGGATTAAAAAATAAAAAATAAATAAATTCAAACAATATAGATGTTGTAAGCTAAAATGTGCAGTCCTTGCTATTGTTCAGTCCCACCCAAGAAACTATCAAAGTTAACAACTTTGAATGATTCTTCTATATGTTTTTCTTATACAGATGTGTGTATGTATGTTTATCTATGTGGGTGTGTACATATATACATGTATACTTGTATGTATGTGTGTATATATATGTGTACATACATGGTACATGAATATTTATGTACCCAGCTAAAAATATGTTTCTTTTACAAAATCAGGATTATTCTCTATGTGTGCTTCTGGAACTTGCTTCTCTTCACTTAAAACCATATTGTCAGCATTGTTTCAGGTCAGGATTCATAAATCATTCTTTTTGGTGACTACATGGTATTTTATTATGTGTCTGAGTCATCTTTTGAGGAACAAGTAATAATTTTTTTAACCAGTACATGAGGATTACTTTGGAAATGCCTCTTCTTTCCAGTTAGGTACATGTGTTACTTTGTAGACCATGCTTTGTTTTTCTTGAAAGTCTTTTGCTCTAGGTTCTTAAATGCTGGCAGAGTGAGCACTTGTTCTGTATTATGTCTACTTACTTGAGTTATCAGTGCTGCATCCTGCCATCAGGAGCCATGCAGATGAGAAGTGCCCAAGAAGCACATTGGGTATAGAAAGGCTAATAACAGAAAACTAGAAAATGTGTTATATGTTTTTTAAAGAAAATTATGACCATGGCATCTTCACCAAGAAAAGCCAGGGGGATAAATATTCTTGGGACTTTAAAATTCTTTGCTAAATGCCTTAAAACTATCTGCATCAGGGGAGGGGGAAAGAAAAAAAGGTTGAAAGACATATAGTTGTTGCTCTGAAGCTATAGTGTAGAGAAATTATGATAACAATAATAAGCATTTTTCAAGGGTTTATGATTTAATATTATTTAATCCTCATAACAACCCTTTGTAAAAGGTAACAATCATGTTCCTATTTTACAAACCGAGTTCCACAAGCTTTGTGGCCTTTCTGACCTTCAGTTTCCATATCTTTAACTTGGGGCCAACTGGATTGATAAAAGAGATAATACATGTGTAATCAGGACAGGCCAGGTCAGGCTGCAGTAACAGCTCTCAGAGAATTTCTGTATGCCTGCTGCCTGTCTGGCAATTGACAGACTGTTCCTGCTTTTAGGTGTACCTTCCAGAACATGTGGCCTCTACAGTTCCTAGGATGTCACTATAGGAGAAAGAGACTAGTGGATCTTGGCTTTGCTTTTTATTACCTCAGCTTGACAGTAGCCTGAGTCTTTTCTGCTAATATAAGACCCTCTCAACTCCAACAGCTCCAGCCAGTACTTGGGCTGCAACTTTATAAGAAGCCCTGAGACAGAACAATGCAGTTCACAGATTCCTGACCTTAAGAAACAATGTGAAATAAATGTTTTTTTGGTTTTGAACTACTAAGTTTTGGAGTAATTTGTTGTAAGGTAATAGCTATTACATATATGTATATACATAATGTGTATGTACATATAAATATGGTATTACAAATATCATGCTGTGTGACATCTGAGCGTAGGTCATTAAAAGTATAGTTTCCACTTGGTTCTCAGTTGGGATACCTTCCCCAGGAACCCCTCCACTATAGTGTGATGAGGCTCAAAATAGCCTGTATGGAGAAATGACACACAGAGGTCCACTCATAGGGGATCTGAGGTCTGCATCCAATAACTACCTTCACTCACCAGACATGTGAGTAAATGAGACTTCAGATGACTCCAGCCTCCAGACTTCCAGGCTTCCAGCTGAGGCCCCTGACACTGTGGAGCAGAGTCAAGCTATCATTTCTCTACCTTGTCCAAATTTCTGAAACATGGAATCTATGAACACAATAAATAAAAAATTTATTAAGTTTTGACCCTTGTTGGTGTGGCTCAGTAGATTGACTACTGGCCTATGAACCAAAGGATTGCTGGTTTGATTCCTAGTCAGGGCACATGCCTGGGTTGCCAGCCAGGTCCCTAGTAGGGGGTACACAAGAAGGCATCACACACTGATGTTTCTCTCCCTCTCTTTCTCTTTTCCTTCCTCTCTCTCTAAAAATAAATAAATAAAAGATTTTTTAAAAAATCACTAAATTCTAGGGTAATTTATGAGCCATAATAACTGGAACATTATAGATTAGGAGATAAATTACATGGGGAAAATCGTAGATACTCGTGAAGGTGTACCATGTTTTGAATTTGCTGATGCCTTTACCCCTTTGATGGCTCATTTTCTCAGGTCTTTGTTAGACCAGTGAACCTCAACTAACAAAAGATAATAATATAATAAGATGTTAAAAGCTGAGCAGGGCCTGTGGTGTCACCCCTTTCTTTTTCATACTGGAATTATGGTACCATATTTTATTTAAAATATAGACTCTTACATAAGTCATAGAACTCTAAGTCCCAATTTCTTCATCTGTATCAAAAAGTAAGCAAAAACTTTAGTAGGTAGATACACAAAGGGTACAAATTATTCTTCCTCTACTTCTTGCACAATGTAGTTGTGAGGCTGAATCAGATAATTTATATATTCTCTCGTTCCACAAAGATTCTTTGAAACATCTCCTATGTTGAGCAATATGTTAGCCCTAAAGTAGTAGATTAGCAGCAGTTGGTATCTGCTTAGCCCAGGAGATAGTGGAGGGGCACTCTTAAAGCTGTCAGTTCCAGAGAACCAAGATGGTGGAGGAGTGAGTGGAAGTTACACTAACCTCTTCCCAGGAGCAATCTGGAATTACATCTAAATTGTGGAGAAATCATCCAGAAAAAACAACTGAACAATAGTGAGAGAGAAGCAATAGTGTTGCCTGTTCGGCACAACATGACTGGTAGGGAGTGCGGTGGAGGTGTGATGGGGCCGGCTGGACACCCACAGGCAGCAACTGAAGTGCTGGAGGGGTATTTAAGCAGCCAGGTCAATCATGCTGAGAAGTGTGAGGTCTAAATCCTAGCTGAAATCCCCAGCCTAGAGCACTAGAGCCCAAAAGTACACAGATAACATCAGCTGTGAAAAGTGGCAGGGTTTCTCTCTACCAGAGATGGAAACTGCAGGTCCAAAGAGCCATTTAAATGGCCAATGCATATAATTTCATTTGCAGCCACTTACATTGGCCTCCAGCAAAGGGGGTAGGCAGAGTGGACTAGAGATGCTTGATGAGAGACTGGGGACAGAGGCTTTGGAGAGAGAACTGAGACAATAGGCACCAGGATTCTGGTGCTGAGTCATTTCCCACACTGCAGCAACCATCTTGCTCAGGCAGACCACTCCCTTTCTAGTGGAACCGGCCTGAGGGGAAGCAACAGCCCTACTCACAGGATGGACACTAAGCCAGCTATGGTGCTTAAACCTGACTACTGATTGCAGAGTGACTACATTAACAACTGAAGGAGTCAGCTACAGACAGTAGATCCCTGGTAGTCTCAACATGCTGCCTAAAGCCAGATGGAGTATCCATCTGATATCAACAAAGGTAGATTCACAAAGAAAAAACAGTGCATCTGCACAACAGCATATAAAACTTAGAGGGTGGAGTTACCCTTAGTCAATCAGCTAGCAGGAAGGACCCATCAAGGAAAATAAAGAACAATCAAAACCCAGTTACATCCAGAGAGCAAACATAAATGGCATAAAGAGCATCCCAAGAACATCAATTTCAGGAGATCAAGGTTACTGCACCACAGAATCCCGCAGATCTACTAACATAAAAGTTCATATCACAAAGACAGGAGTCAAAGCACATCAATTTAAGAAGCACAAGCAAACAAGAAGAGTCTCCCCTAAAATGGGGAGACAAAGAAAAAACACAATGGAAAGGAAATGAGGAATTCTCAGGAAGAGTGCTAAATGAAATACAGGCAAGTCAACTATCAGATATTAAGTTCAAAACAATGGTTATAAGGAACCTCAATGAGCTCAGTGAGAATTACCAAAAACTACAGGAAAGCTACAAGAAACTACTGTGAACTACATCAGCATGAAAAAGCACAGAAGCTATCAATGAGAGCCAGGAGGAAATAAAGAATACAATTTCTGAACTGAAGAACACAGTAGAAGGAATCAAAATCAGGCTAGATGAAGCAGAGGATCGAATCAGGAAGCTGGAGGACAAGGTAGAAAAATATTCCCACAAAATGCAGGAAAAGAAAAAAGGACTCAACAAAAAGAAAGAGGGGTTATAGGAACTTCAGAACAATATTGAACATAATAATATCCATATAGTAGGGATACCAGAAGGAAAAGAAGAGGAACAAGGGATTGAAAAAGTAATAATGGACAGCTTCCTTAATTTGATGAGAGAAAAAGTCACAAAAGTCCAGGAAACATAGAGGATCCCAATCAAGATGAACCCAAAGAGGCTCACTCCAAGACAAATGGTAATTAAAAGGCCAAA